TTCAAATGAGAAAAACTGCAAGCAAAACTTCTCATAAAGCAGGCTGAAACAGCTGCGAATCCGGGTTCGTAAAACTGCTAAGAGAACTTCCAGTGTAGCAGGCTGAATTAGCCGCTCTGGGATCCAAGCTTCGGTCAGCAGGTGGGTGTGATGATGTCACGTTGTAGCCACGCCCTATGCTTCTGTTGGAAATGACATCGTCGGGGAGCTGAATATTTTGTATTGTTCTGGGATGGTGGAAAGCAGGCAATGTACTGAAACACAGGTTCTCCTGACATGAGTAAACTATTTTTCTTTATTACGGGAAAGAGACTATCAAGTGATTTTCATTACTCAGCACATTAAGAGCCATTCATTTATGTTTACACAGGTTCTTGCTAGCAGCAAGATTCTTTGTAAAATTTTACCTGTAAACTGTAAGCATGTAACGTGCAATTTGTGCAATGTTCACACGCATAAAGTATAAAAGTACCCTATTGACTGCTACCGCTGCACAAAGTCAACATCTACAATGTGTAATTCCTGAATGAATGAATTTGTGAATGACTGGCTGAGATCATTCTGCACATATTCTGCTACATCATGATTGCCTCCTTCAGGGCCAACATGAAAACATCAATAATGTATTACACATTGTTGATATTACATGGCAGCAGCCAATAGAGTTCAGTTACACCATATGCTGTTTGTATGTATGCTTTTATCTTACAGCACAGGTTTCCTTTAATGTGTATAGTAAATCACTAAGTGTCACCCTTTGATGAGTGAGTAAGAGTATATAATTTCCTTGTTACTGTAGTAAACTTTCCCAGCCAAGCTATGACCGTAAAAGTGGAATGTAAATACCTCTTCTGCGGTCCGCTCCACTAGACTCCACTGTGTTTTTGGAGAATGATCTCTTTGAGGTCCCCTGGGATTGACAGTCTCTTTGGTCCTGTACATCTTTTACTGGTTCCTCCTGCTGTCTCCTCTAATGATATGGAAGTTAGCAGGAGGAACCAGTGAGAGTTGCAATGTATCAAGAGGATTGACACTTCCAAAAGTGTTGGTTTCCCAATGGAATTCAGGGGATTGTTGTCCATAAAAGTAGAATGTAAATACCTCTTCTGCGGTCCGCTCCACCAAACACCACTCTATTCTAAGAGAATGTTCTCTATGAGGTCCCCTGGGATTGACCGTCCCTTTTGGTCCTGTACATCTTTTACTGGTTCCTCCTGCTGTCTCCTCTAATGATATGGAAGTTAGCAGGAGGAACCAGTGAGAGTGGCAATGTATCAAGAAGATTGACACTTCCAACAGTGTTGGTTTCCCTATGGAATTCAGGGGATTGTTGTCCATAATCAGTCTTTTACAAGAACAGCTGTGCTGGGAAAGTTTCTACTCTAGTGACAGGATCCCTTTAGGGCTGATATTAAAAACACTCTTTATATTTACTATGCACAGAATATATAAAGGTAAAAAAACCTTCAGGGTGCAGCCCCCCTCCCTGATCCTGATCTCCATCCAGTGCCGTGCACGGGAGCCTTAGCTTTCCTAGGTCTCTCTCTCCTCATTGGCTGAGAAACAGCAGGAGCCAACAGTCAGTGAGGGGCAAGGACGAGCTGCTCTCTGTATTTTTTATAAACATACAGACTCTGCTCAGGAGCCAGCATGCACAAATGCCCCCAGAGCCATCAGCTTGCTTTGGGGGCACTCAGCAGAGGGGAGATGCTAGGGGCATCAGTGGGGGACCCGAGAAGAGGAGGATCAGGGGCCACTACATGTAAAAACCACTGCACAGAGCAGGTAAGTATGATATGATTGTTATTTTAATTAAAAAAAAAAGCTTTACAACCACTTTCATCCATCATGCGTATATTAAAAATCATCACTTGTCATAGGTTTACTGCTTTGCACAGTGTATTTTGAACATACTTACAAGAGGGTAGAGGACAAGGATGACCCCTTCTCCTCACTGTATATTTAGTTGTTAGGTAAAGCTGAACTGAGAGCTAATTTTTGCCAAAACATGTGAAATGATTGGTCTGATTACTTGTTTTAGGCCCTTTATAAGGAAGGACTAACTGTTTGGATTAGTTATGTGTAGTAGCCAGGTTTGTAAGTGATACCATTGGAGATTTAAGGGTCATGCTGTGACTTCTAATTGCTCTAATTGAGCTTTTTTTTTAATTCTGCACTTAGTCATTTTATTAAAGAATGAGTTCTTTTCTTATTTGGAATTTGATATTTCACTGTGCAGTGATTCTTTTCAAATCTTCCTATAACCAGGAAATGTGGTAATGCCAAGAGGGTATGTCTTCCTCATCCTTATTGTATTAATTAGTAGGATCCTTATTCTATTTTTATTGACAATAGACTATATTGATATTGTTCAGATATGCTGTACCTGGTAGAGATAGATTACCTTTCCTCTAACGTGATGTACAGAATCTCATAGCAGGCAGAATGAAGCACAGCAGAGAGACTTCTGACAAATCAGATACCTGGAAGATTGTATGCATGGTCTAAACCAGGGGTCTCCAAACTTTGTAAACAAAGGGGCCTTGAGGCTGGGGGGGGGGGGGGGGCGTAGTGTGTCCAATGGGAGTAAATAATGCTCTATCTTTGGTATTAGGAGGAGAAATTGTGCCTCATTGTTGGTGTCAGTGGGAGAAAAAGTACCCCTTTGTTGGTGTCAGTGGGAGAAAAAGTACCCCTTTGTTGGTGTCAGTGGGAGAAATAGTACCCCTTTGTTGGTGTCAGTGGGAGAAATAGTACCCCTTCGTTGGTGTCAGTGGGAGGAATAGTGTCCCATTTTTGTTGTCAGTGGGAGGAATTATGCCTCATTGTTGGTGTCAGTGGCAAGAATAATGCATCATGGGCTGGATAAAGGCAAGCAGAGGGCCACAGTTTGGAAACCACTGGTCTATACCAAGCAAAGAAAAAAAAAAGTCCTAAGTGTCCTAACATAAGTGAGCACAGCAAAACTACTGATTATGCTCTAAAAACAGAACTCATTATTGAATCATATCTAAACACCATGTCTAACCATTAAAGTATTTTTTGGCAAATCAACTGGTTGCCGGAAATAATGTATTTATATTACATATAAAATATCAATATTGAAGATGTCTATCTTTGCCTTAGAAGACCTTCATCCAGATATGATGCCTTAAAGCAGGAGTCTCCAAACTTTCTAAACAAAAGGCCAGGTTACTGTCCTTCAGACTTTATGGGGGCCGAACTGTGGCCATTGGAAATAGGAAGTCTGCACCATTGTTGTCATTTGAGTAGGAAGAATCATGCCCAATTGTAGGTGTCACTGGGAGGAACTGTGCCCCATCGTTGGTGTCACAGGAGGAATTGTACCCCTTCATTGGTGTCAGTGGGGGAATTATGCCCCATAAGTATAACTAAAAAGGCAACTTTAAATTTTAGATTTGGATAGAGTGGTATGGGGTTTGAGCTACTGTCAGTTTTTTTTTCTTTCTTTGCCATGCTTTTGTAAAATAGAGATCTTGTCACTTCCTACTGAATGTATAAGGCAGGAAGTAAAAGGAAATCTTCATAATAAAACTTAGATGAAAAGGAAAAACTGAACATAGCCACCCTCTAAGTCAGATCACAGCAGGGAGGAAAAATAGATATTTGAAGGAGTCTGAGAGCAACAGAAAGTTCTTTTCTGAGTATATATATACCTATATACAATGCATACATACTGAGTAAACAATACATACTTGAACAGAATTCTTTTAAAACCAGAGTTTAGTGTTACTTTAAGAATTATTTTTGTAGTTGTAGTGCTATGCTACTTTCCACCAGAAGGTGGTGTTGGGGGCCAAATCTGTAATTGCAGCTCCATGTGTTCTTGAAATCTGTGGCCATAGCAGGAAAAATGTATCGGTATACTAACACCAGGCAAAGCCCCTGGGCTCTACAAGGGAACTCCTCAGTGTATTAACATACCCAGCCTATCCTTTGGCTGTAGTAAGGAGGATTTCCTGGATGTTTTAACAATCTAGTGGGGGTTTCTCTAGTGTTTCATAGTCCAATAATAAATGTATTGTACAGATTTGTGGTATGTTTTTAATGCCTTTCTATTTCTCCTGTTATACAGAACTACAAGTCTTTCTAGCAAGCTAATGGAATTCAATTTGGGAACAGACAAACAGACTTTTTTGTCCAAGTTGATTAAGTCAATTTTCATCTCATATTTGGAAAACTATATTGATGTAGAAACTGCTTATTTGCGAAGTCGGAGTTCCATGATCTTACAACGTTATTACGATTCCAAGAACCATCAAAAAAGGCCAATTGGAACTGGAGGGTAGGTGACCAACAAACATACATTGGTAGAGTCAGCTGATTGCTATTTATTAATTATACAAGAGCTTTGTTATTTTACTGATGCCTGTATCCAAGAAGCAGCAGAAATACATATTAACCACCTCCTGTCTGGCCCATGTATATAAACGGCCGGATGGTTGCAGTGCAGGGTCGGGTGGCCATTTATAAACAGCCTCCCCGCCCCCTGCTTGTGCACGCTCCCTGGGAGTGTGCAGCACCGCAATTCGGTGCCCGCTGTGTCCTCCGGACACAGTGGAACACTGATCGCCGTACGGGACCTCTGTGCGAGGTCCCAATCATGTGATCACTGATTGGCCAATCAGTGATCACATGCAGAGTAGTAAGCAAGATGTCACTTCTGACATCATTGCTTACTATGTGTGAAATCTGTGAATGATCACAGAGATCACATGGTACAAGGCTATTCACAACAGCCTTGTACCATGTGACAAGCTGTGACCAATCACAGCTCACATTGTAGTTCTCAATGGCTGCAAGAATGCAGCTAGAGAGAAGGAAAAATTATTGCTCTTATAGCCTTTATGGGTGTAAAATCAATCAGTGTAAAAAAAAAAAAAAATCTTTATCACCCCCCACAAGTAGTACACTGTACTGCTAGGCTGACCGTATATAAAAAAAAACAAAACAAATAATATAAAAAAATTAAATAAAAAAAAAAAATGTTTAAAAATTATAATTTTTGGTTATAAACTAATTTGAGTTATTTTTTTTTTTTTTTTACTAAAAAGATAACGGAATAAATTTTGGCCAAGATTTATGGTGAAATATTATTTATTTGCAAAGTTTTATAAGAAAAACACTTTTTTTTTTTCAACATATTGGACTTTTTCATTTATGTAGCAAAAAAAATAAAAATCCCAGTGGTGAATAAATACCACCAAAATAAAGCGTTATCTGTCTCAAAAAAAATGCTAAACAATTCATATGGGTACAGTGTTGCATGACCGCGCACTTGTCGTTCAAAGTGTGATAGCACTGAAAGCTGAAAATTGGCCTGGGCAGGAAGGGGGTGAAAGTGTCCGGACTTGAAGTGGTTGAAAACAACCTGTTGTGACATTTGTTTTGCATTTTACAATAGAAGGACGTGTCCTGTTTATAAATGCAATTTGTTCTGTTGCTGCACAGCTATACTGTGACACTTTCATATTGTCTGCTGATAAAAATGTATAGAATTCTAGGTGATATAAATAACTGGATCACACAAATTCTTCACATTATTACATAATATTCTTTTGTAAACTTGCACAACAGCATTCAAGATCTGAAAGAGAAAATTCGGCAGCGTTCAATTTTTCCTTTGGGATCAAGTATAGAAACACACGGCGAGACATTTTTAGCACAAGAAGTGGTGGTAAACCTATTGCAAGAAACCAAGCATGCCTTTGAAAGATGCCATAAGGTATGTTTTATCAAAAACCTTAATATTTGTGTCTCTAGTTGTATCAAGTGTGATATTTTATGCATCTTCTTAAAGCCTAATGCCAGTCAAAATGTTTTGTCTATATTGTGTTTTGGATAGAGTGGGGAAACATCAGAGACTGTGTCAGGTTGTTTTTTAATGTCTGTGTCTAGTACCGGAGAGATTTCCTACTCACAAGTGAAAGCCTCCAAACTTTTTAAAGTTTACTGGCCTTCAGACTTTAGGGGGGCCAGACTGTGGCTATTAGGAGTAGAAATTAGTCCTGGCATTACTGGGAGTAAACAATGTATCTTTGGTATTAGGAGGAGGAATAGCGGCCCATCGATGGTGTCAGTGGGAGGAATAGTGCCCCGTGCTGGGTGTCAGTGGGAGGAATAGTGCACCATTATTGGTGTCAGTGGTCAAAATGGTGCACAATTGATGTTAGGGAGAGGAATAGTTCCACGTTGGTATCATTGGGAGGAATAATGCCCCATCATTGGTGTCAGTGGGAGGAATAGTGCCTCATTGTTGATTTCTAGTATGAGAAATAGTGCCCCATTGTTGGTGCCAGTGGGAGTAATAATCCCCCATTGGTGGTGACAACAGGAGGAATAGTGCCCCATTGTTGGTGTCAATGGAAAGAATAGTTTCCCAATGTTTTTCAGTGAGAGGAATAATGCCTCATGGTTTGTGTCAGTGAGAGGAATAATGCCTCGTTGTTGATTTCAGTGGGAGGAATAGTGCCCCAACATTAGTGTCAGTGGGAGGAACAGTGTCCCTTAGTTGGTGTCAGTGGGAGGAACAGTGCCCCATTGTGGGTGTCAGTGGGAGCAATAGTGCCCTAATGTGGGTGTCAGTGGGAGGAATAGTGTCCCAACATTGGTGTCAGCGGGAGGAAAAGTGCCCCAAGAGGCAGATAAAGGCAAGCAAAGTGCTGCATCTGTCCCCCAGGCCATAATTTGGAGACCACTAATTTACACAATGCTTGATTTTTTTTTTTGATTTTGCTTTCTCCATTTAGCTTTCAGATCCATCTGATCTTCCAAAAAATGCCTTTAGAATATTTTCAATACTTGTTGACTATTTATGCATTGAGCACATTGACTACGCCTTGGAAATAGGTTTGGCAGGTAAGATCTATTATTCTCTACTATTTTTTTAGGACTTCCTAAATGTTAACAGATAGAACAATGCAGTAGGTTCATGCCCATTCGGACGCTTGAAGCAAATAAATATACTTAATACTTCTGCGCGGATGAGAACATGTGATTCACTCCTATTACTGCTTTGTGCTGGCACTTAGTAATTTGTCACTCTTGGTGGTCAGGTGCTGTCACATGGGTACATGGAGATTACATTGGGCTTTTTCACACAGGGGCATTGGGGTGAAATAAGGATGAATATGTGCAGCAGGTGGGGCTGCTGCTACAGTGAATTTCTTTCTGTGTCCCACATAGACAAAGCACAGGTTCACTTTAAAGCAGAACTCTAGCTTTTAAATAATTATACATTTCCCTACCCCACTCCCTGTACCCCCACCCCTTTTTTAACTCATGAATACTTACCTTTTTACAACAATGTTATACCATCAGTGCCTCTCTCTGGAGTATTATGCTCTGACTTGGTGATGCATGCCCAGGGGGTGCTTCTATAACAGCCTGGGTTACGGGAAGTGGGTTAATTGGCAATTATTTATCCTGGAAGTAGGTGGACTAGTGAGTGATAGTTTTGGAGATGAAGGTGGTTATTGCAGCTGCAATTTTTTAAAATAAATCCTTTGGGTAAGTCTTAAAGAAAATTACTGGAGATCTTCTCTAAGTTCCAGCTAGCCATACTATCCTATATACTTGTACAGGTGTTGGACAAAAATATGGAAACGCTACATGATTTGCAGTTTCTTTTGCTTCTGGTGGGTGATGAGACACCTAGCTAATGGGTGGGAATCCTCACTTTTGTCATTCACTGTGTGCATTGCTAGTAATGCAGCGTCATGTCAGAGCTTACGAAGTTTCAAAGAGGGCAAATTGTTGGTGCTCACTTAGCTGGTGTCTTTGTGACTGAAGTTGCCCATTTATTTGCGGTGTTGTGAAGTATAGTATCAAAGGTTATGATGGCATATACAGTTTCCGGGAAACCTTCGTCTGATGAGCATGAGCATGGTGGACATGGTCAGCTGACTGAAAGGCAAAAGGGCATTGCGCAGGATTGTGACTCAAAATAGGAAAACAACTGTTGCAAAAGTGACTGCAGAGCTCAATCTCAGTCTTCCAAAGCCCATGTCCACGTAAACTCTGTGGAGGGAACTCTATGGGCAAAACATTCATGGGTGAGCTGCAATTGCCAAACCACTAGTGATCGACATCAATACTCAGAAGAGAGGAGAGAGTGGTGCAACACCCATAAATTGTGGACTATCAATCAATGGAAGACTATAAAATGGTCCGATGAATCGATCTTTAAACTGTTCCCAACCACCGGATGTGTTTACATGTGGTGAACACTGTCCCAAGCTTATGTCCAGGACTGTCTTGTGCCAACGGTAAAGCATGGTGGCGGTGAAATCATTTGGTTTGGGCAGCCATATCTTGGTATTCTAAAGACCCCATCATCACCTTGAAAAGTAGACTCGCTTACAGTGACTATGTACAAATTTTGGCCGACCATGTGCACCCCATGATTCAGACAATGTTTCCTGAAGACCGTGCCATTTACCAAGACGATAATGCTCTGATTCACACAGTTGGTGTTGTCAAATCGGGGTTTGATGAGCATTCAGGCGAAGTCTCCCAACTTTTCTGGACCCCACAATCGTCAGAGCCACTATGGTCAGTTTTGAAAAACAAGGTTTGGGCTTGTTTTTTGCCTCTGGCATCTCTGTGAGAAATGAAATGATTTAAGCATGAAAAGTGGCATCAGATTCCATTATCCACCATGCAAAACCTAGATCTGTCATTTCCCATGAAAATTCAGGCCGTCTTGGATGCCAAAGGCCATAGTAGGTAATAATTTTGTTCTTTTACCTGGTATTTCCTTGTCCAACCCCTGTATGTAGAGACTGTAACAAAATAGGATCTTTGTCATCGAAGGGTGTCAGTCGTTATCATTGTGTCATAAAGTTTTTCCATCCTGTTGTCTGGGACTATTGTTTCTTAGGGATGCTCAGTAGACCTCCAACTCCTCTCCTACACATGTAGCTGCTTTATCCATTGAAGTTTAAAGGGACAGGTAATTTACTGGTAAATACAATGTTGTGAAAAAGGAGGGCAGGGGTGGTAGACCCTGTATTTTGTTCTTTCCGTTTTAGTTTAGCATAAAATTGACATGTGGAAGTTTTTCCCAGTTGCTTTTTTATATACTACTTGTTGTGACTGTTCAACAGAGGTGTATTACAAAAGAGGTAGGGTTCCCACATGAGTTTCCATCCAATTGTAAGATCTTCCAGAAGTTTTGGTCTTTCAAACAGTTCTAAGGATGCATGCAGACATTGGTGAACATTTTCCCCTATCCAGTCACTTCCTGTCTGGGGAAACTTGATTGACTGCAGTTTCTGTTAATAGACACTAACAGAAAAATTACCCAACATGCTTTGAAAAGTGGATATTTATGTTGCAATCGGACTCAAATCTGCAATTGAAAAAAATAATTTTGATTTCTTTTACATTGATAAATTTGGACAAGATTTAGATTTGGTAATAGATTTCACTTTTCATTACTCAGGAAGACTTGTTTAATTTTTTTCTCCCCAGCAATCCCTTCTCCTGAATCAAAGAATGCCAACCTATATTTCTTCGATGTGGTACATCAGGCCAACACTATTTTTCCATTTGTTTGATAAACAATTTAATGATCATTTAATGCCTTTAATAAGGTAAAGAGAGGTTTTTTTTCCTCCCCTACAATCCTAAAATGATTTGTTATATCAGCGTGTAATTCTGTGGTTCTCGTGTTTACAGCTCATCTCCGAAGCTTACCGAATGTCTGCAGAAGAAGAAGGATATCATTGAGCAGATGGAGGTGAAACTGGACACAGGAATTGACAGGTCAGACCGGTTTTTCTTAACCTGTTTACTCCAGAGAAACCCTTTAAGTTATTTTCAGATCTGAGCAAACCGCTGCTAAATTTAATTCATAGATGTTCAGACGTAAGAATGTCCCTTAGTGGTCAGTGGGAAGAAGGCTATCCTTGCAGTGGTGGTCTTTGGAAAGAATGCTCCTTAACAGTGGTGGCTAGAATACTAACCCCCTTCCTTACATTGGAGGTCGGTGGGAAAAATGCCCTTCTTAGGGCCTGTTCACACTTGACTCAAAATGCTAACTCTTAAATGCACATATAGTGTTAAAAGGAACGTTTGACTTGTGTTTTAATGAGCATTAAAAACGCTCCTCAAACACGTTATGTGCATTTTGTGGCATGTTTGACGCGTGTTAGAGGCACGTTAAAACTGCACCACTAACGCCTATAATAAACTGAAATGTCGTTAACACTTATAGACAGATAAAACGTTGGTCTCGTGCTTTTGGCTTTGTCAAGTTATATTTGACCCTGAACTGTGCAGGCACCATCAGTTGGGAGGTCAGTTAGCCACAGCTTAAGAAACCTCTTGCAAACTCTGGAAGAACCCTAGATTCACAGCACCTTGGGTGAGAATGGCTCAGTTAGACTTGTCCAAGCAACACTGTGTGCAGTATTTAAAGTCAAGCTCTGTGACCAGAGGAACTTAAATTTTCTGCATCTAGGTTTGTTAACTCACATCTCAGACCTATGACTACCTTTATGGTACCATATATTCTTGCTACCATTGAGTCATTTTCTCTTGAAAGCACTCCACTGTATGCGTTTAAACAACCCATTCTTTCTAAAATAGAAACCAAAAGCAAAACATTTAAGTATAGATGTAAAAAAACATTATAAAATACCTTTTTTTTTTTTTTTTTTTTTTTTTTTTTTTTTTTCTCCCTGTTTTATAATTGATCACATACAGTGCCTTGAAAAAGTATTCATACTCCTTGAAATTTTCCACATTTTTGTCATGTTACAACCAAAAACGTAAATGTATTTTATTGGGATTTTTTGTGATAGACCAACACAAAGTGGCACATAATTGTGAAGTGGAAGGAAAATGATAAATGGTTTTCAGCATTGTTTTACAAATACATATCTGAAAAGTGTGCCGTGCATTTGGATTCAGCCCCCCTGAGTCAGTACTTTGTAGAACCACCTTTTGCTGCAATTACAGCTGTAAGTCTTTTTGGGGATGTCTCTACCAGCTTTGCACATCTAGAGAGCGACACATTTGCCCATTCTTTGCAAAATAGCTCAAGCTCTGTCAGATTGGATGGGGAATGTCTGTGAACAGCAATTTTTCAAGTCTTGCTACAGATTCTCAATTGGATTTAGGTCTGGACTTTGGGCCATTCTAAGACATGATATGCTTTGATCTAAACCATTCCATTGTAGCTCTGGCTGTATGCTTAGGGTTGTTGTCCTGCTGGAAGGTGAACCTCTGCCCCAGTCTCAAGTCTTTTGCAGACTCTAACAGGTTTTCTTCTAAGATTGCCCTGTATTTGGCTTCATCCATTTTCCCATCAACTCTGACCAGCTTCCCTGTCCCTGCTGAAAAAAAGCATCTCCACAACATGCTGCTGCCACCAACATGTTTCACGGTGAGGATGGTGTGTTCAGGGTGATGTGCAGTGTTAGTTTTCTGCTACACATAGTATTTTGCATTTAAGCCAAAAGGTTAAATTTTGGTCTTATCTGACCAGAGCACCCTCTACCACATGTTTGCTGTGTCCCCCAAATGGATTCTAGCAAACTGCAAACTGGGCTTCCGTCTTGCCACTCTTCCATAAAGGCCAGATTTGTGGAGTGCACAATTATTAGTTGTCCTGTGGACACATTCTCCCACCTGAGCTGTAGATCTCTGCAACTCCTCCAGTGTTACCATGGGCCTCTTGGTTGCTTCTCTGATTAACCACTTGCCCTCCAGAGGATTTACCTACTCGTCCTGACCAGGTCATTTTTTGCGTTATGGCGCTGCGTTACTTTGACAATTGCGCGGTCATTCAATGCTGCACCCAAATTAAATTTACTTCCTTTTTTTCCCACAAATAGAGCTTTCTTTGGTGGTATTTAATTGCCCTCTGCGGTTTTTTATTTTTTGCTCTATAAACAAAAAAAAGACTGACAATTTTGAGAAAAACACTATATTTTTTTACTTTTTGTTATTAAACATGTCCAATAAAAAAATTTAGCAAATTTCTTCATAAATTTAGGCCAGAAATTTATTTGTGCTACATGTCTTTGCTAACAAAAAAAAATTCCAACATGTCTAAGTTAATTGGTTTACTTGAAAGTTACAGCGTTTACATATGGCGGTATACATTTTTTTTTCCACTAGTAATGGCAGCGATCAGCAGGACTGCGGCGAGCATTCTGACACTGGGGGGAACTTGGTATCACTGACATCCCAGTGACACTAGTACAGTGATCAATGCTAATAAAAAGCATGACACTGTACTAATGACACTGGGCAGGAAGGGGTTTTTAACCTCCCTGGAGGTATTCCCCGAGTGTAGCTCAGGGTTAACTTTCAGTACCAGAAGCGTTAATCCCGAGCTACATTCGGGATTTACCATGCAGCATTGCTCTAGGATCCCTCCAGCACTTACCTTGTCCTGTGGTCCCACAATGTCCCCCCTGCAGCGTCCCCAGCCATGTCCTCCGGCCGATGCCGGCATCTTCCGGGTTCCATTCCCTGCGAGCGTAGGGACGTATAGGGGACAGAACCGGCGGGAAATAAAAAAAAATGTACAAATTTGACATTCACTCAATACACTAAAATCTGATAGTATTACATTACTGTATCAAACCATTTCACATACATTTTGTCTCGAGTGCTTTGTCCTGCTCCCTGCCTGCATTTTTTACTTTCTTTCTGCCTGGAAACTGAGAAACTCCATGGTGTTCAAAAGGATCCCTTTAGGTCAAAATCAGTTTTAGATCAGCTAGAGAAGAAACAGTGATAGTAAATTAGAACTGCTTGCAGAATTGAGTGAAAAGGATTCGTGGGGAAAATTCGCCATCAGGCACTGAAAACGATTTTGCGACTTTGCTCAGTGATGTGCAAACTTGGTGCGCTATTTCAAATTTCAGTGTTTTTGGTTTGATTACGTTATTGAATTAAATTTCTTACTATTATGATATTATTTTTTTTATGATTA